CCTTTATTATAAAGCCATGATGACTCAAGAGAGTCATCCTGATAAAGTGGCTTGCAAACAGAGATGTCAGTGAGTAAACACCTCAGAGATGGGACTTTAGTCCAAACCCATTTTTCAGATGGTGAAACCGAGACCTGGTTACTCCTTATTCAATCAATGCTCTTCCATGAACCTAGCATGGGTCAAGTTAGTTCTTGCACAAGGGACTGAGGACCCAGAGAAAGTGATACTGGAGGTCTCCAGGAGCTCCCAGGACAACAGGCAAGACAACTGGACTTTCCACCTGAGCCCCAAAAGTTCAAGTTAAACCTTCCTTCTTAAGAAAATGCCAAGCCACCTCCTTCCTGCACCAGATGCAGCTCAGCACGAAGTCATCTAGAGGTGTCTGTCCTTCCAGAGAGCAAGAGCTACAAAAAGGGTTGCTCTTGAGAAGGAGGCAGGTGTGCAGAAGGGGAAGTCGGGCTTTCCTTAACAGAAAAGAAGGCCAGGCTCTCCTTGGCCGCTTCCTCGCCCTGTGACCTCAGACCTGTGATCTGGCCTCTGCGAACCACAAAGTGCCGAGCAACCCAACTTCCATCCAAAAGCAGCTAATAGATCATTGGAATGTGTTGTCTATTTGTAATTTGGCCCAAAGCTCGTTTTTTCCATGGCTCCTCCCCTTTAAAATGCACCAGGATGAGGCGGGGAGGGGGGGGTGGAATATTTTCAACAGAACACACTGGCACAGGGATCTTACCCTTCATATGCAAAGAACTCCTAAATATCAATAAAAAGAAACACATGTTCCCAGGGGTGGAGAATGGGAACAGAATTGAACAGGATAATCAAAGAAGAGCGAACCATCAACATTAATAAGAAATGCACATCCATCGAAGCATCTGGATAAGAGTCTCAGGTCCTCAGGACCAAGGGGTGGGTAACTGAGATGTGAGAACCCTGCACCCAGATACAACGCCATAGAGACTGTGAGCTGGCGCCACCCACCAGGACGCAGTTGCACCCCTGAAAAGGGGTCCCCACGACAAACACAAAAGATGACCCACTGGGGAAAGCGTGGCACCTTCAAAATAATGACAAATCTACCGCAGAGCGCTCAGTGAGTCCCCGGGCCCCTTCCCACGCAGCCCTCAAAATGAATGTTGGCAAAGATAGAAATGATCTGCACGGAAGTTCAGGGTCGGTGGCTGAGGACCCAGCAGGCTTCCCACCCAGATGGTGGGAGATTCTGTGCGGCCACACGTGCATGGGGTCCCCATCCCTATAGGACGCTGTTGTCCCTGCTGTCGTCGGTTGGTAAACAGCAGGCGTTACTTTTGAAATCTGAAAATGACCTCAAAACTCTTTGCCTGTAGACAAATAGTAGTAAGTTACCAGGAGATCGGAACTGCTGTCCCCGCGGTCCCCTCCCCTGTCCCTTTGCAAGACGTCCAAAAGCCAGCCTGATACCTTCTCTCGGGGCTCCGTCTTCCCGGGGACACTTGTGTCCCTGGCTTCCTCCTCCTGGTCCCAGGGCTCTCGGTCCCTTGGCGACCCCCGTAGAGTCCCCCAGAGCGCAGCCGCCCCCACGAGGCTTCCCGGAGCCCCGCTCCGTCCCGAGCTGCCTGCTCGCCAGGGCTGCTGCCCTGAATGGGACAGCGACAGGGACCAGGGCTCAGCCAGAGAAACAGCTGGAGGGAGGAGAGGGAGGAGGGGCAGGAAGCGGCCTGCGAGGGGAGGGCGGGTCGCCAGCTGCGGAGCGGG